ACAAAAAAAAAAAAAAAAAAAAAAATTCAAACACCAGAAAATGAACTCACAGAAAACGTGGCTATTGCTAACTAAAATAGCTATGGCAGCCACACTCACATTCACGGCACATCTCTCCTTATTCCAGTCACGGACACTGCTGTTGTCATCCTTGCTCCTCAGGGTCCATCATCAGTGTTTTGTCTTCCCGCCACTGGGTCATCAGAATCGTGCATTTACTTGATAAATGGTCAAATAAAAGTGGCCATGATTCACCGTGCTTCAGATGGATGGTATATTTAATTGGTTCCTATAATATCTGGCATTTACTACACAGCTTTTTAAAAATTATTATTTAAGGAAGGTAAAGGAGCAGTGGACTTGCAGTTACTTGCAGTGGGCAGGGTCCCATTTAATACACCAGGGAAGGCAGACTCTTCAGTGTTCCTGTCCTGGGTTACTGCATAATACAGAGGTTTCTGAAAATTTTACCAGGTAATAAAAACAAGAAGGGATGAAAAGTGCAATTTAGTTCAGGGTCTGAAGCCACTGGCATATTTCTCCCTCCATGAGGAAGCCCAGAAAGTTAGGAGCGATTTAATAATGTCCATTGTCTGTGCTCTGAGCAAAAGATCACATTTGTGTCATACACGGCAATGCTGATCAGTAAACTCCTTAAGCCTAACAAGCCTAGACAGCATAATAACAGCAGTCAGGGCATGTAAGGCGACAAGGATCTTAGACGGTGCAATTAGACGCTTCCTTTTGGTGGGCAAAGGAACTGAGCTTCTACGTCATAACTTGCCCGGGGCCCCACAGCTCACCACACACCTGGTTTCTCGTGCAGAATGATAAATATTTCACAGTTTAGTTCCACAGTTTTGTTTGCAAATCCCAAGCTTGTTTCCATTGGTACCTACTTGGAAATCCACCATGGATGGAGCACTAATCAAACTTTCTGGTCGCAAAGCCGGTAATATGAACTGTTGTGGTGGTGGTAAGGATGGGGTTGGTGAGGATGGTGGGGACGGTGATGCTGGTGATGCTGATGGTGCTGATTAACTGGCTTTTTATTAGAATGACTAACCAATTACCCAGGTGCTGAGAGTCAGTGATCTTGGCTTTGGAGAGAAGAGGCCACTGGGTGCACCATGGCCATGCCAGCCTAGCTTATGGGTCTGTTTTTGGTGACAGAAACATATACAGCATGTTCAAGTGAGCAGAATACAGAATGGTACTTCCAGGAATGGACAGTAGTGTTGTGACCTACCTTACCCCACTTACTATCAAAGGTGCATCCGTGATAATCTGCACGTATAGATCCTTGCTCAGTCACACATTCCTCAGTTGCTGAAGCATCCATCTGCTGTCTTTGCCTACATGGCATCTACTCTCTTTTACAAGACAGTTTCCTCTTGGAAAATGATTC